TATATAACCCCCTCCCAGGGCGACAGACAACAGAAAAGTGGGTGAAGGGAGACAGTGGTCGGTGTAAGACATGAAAAAAATGATAAATTATCAAGGGTTCATGAGGGAGGGGGGAGGAAGAAAAATGAGCTGATACCAAGGGCTCAAGTAGAAAGAAAATGTTTCGAAAATGATGATGGCAACATATGTACAAATGTGCTTGACACGATGGTTGTATATCTAGATTGTGATAAGAGCTGTAAGAGCCCTCAATAAAATGATTGAGAAAGAGAGAGAGAGAGAGAGACCCTGTCCCATTGCCTTGACTACTCTGACAGCCTCCAAGACGGCTGTCCAGCCCTCCTGGATTCATCTCTCCCGTGCCAAGCCAGTACCTTCTACAGAATGGAAAGCAGTGTTGGCCCCTTAAAATAAGAGTTCCAGCCCAAATAGGCTCATTCAGCCTATTAACTTTGCTCAGTGTTTCCCCGATTCCTGCCAGCCCAGCCTAGTTTGTCTTTACCTAAGCTCTTTTAAAACAGAACTTCAAGTTCAAAACCTCTCCTGGACCCAGGACCAGCCTACTTTGTTCCTAATAGATTTGTGTGCCTTTTTTGATAATGTCAAGAACGGAAAATGTGCTACCACAACTTTTAGGACTCATGGACACTTGGGTCCAGCGTTTGCAGCTTGCCTAAAATCTCCCTATCATGAAAATGCTAGGTGCGTAAGCCTTTCTGGGGAGAAAACCCTTCAGTGTTATGCTTTTTACTTATGTCTTGGAAACCAAAAGGGCACACAGGTGGTGGTAACTGCTATGTCTCTGTGCCCTTCTTGGAGTGCACCCATATAGCTGGAAAGGTCAACCAAACAATCCCCAACTCCACCTGTTCCCCAGGAGTCCGCAACCCATTTTCCCTCAACATCACCAACCGTGCAGCAGCTTTCTGGTTTCCTAGACAAACCTGGGCCTTCCTTGCAGGAAGGCAGGATGGGACCCTGGAGAGGTGTTTACTGCACAATAACTGTCCTTAAGGCCCAGCCCCTCCGGGCTTATTGGCCCCCTTGCAGAAGTGCAAGACCCTCTGTTTGATTGACAGCTTCACCTTCCTTTCACTGAACTGTGTGTGCCTGTTAAACCCCAGGCCCTGCAGCCCCCAAAAGTGTTGTCCCCCCACCGACTCTTTTGTCTATAATAACCCAAGTGCATCCTGTCCTCAATTTAACTCACCCAGCGCTAGCAGCTGACTGCTGGCTGTATTTAAGTGCACGACCACCCCCACCCCATATTATATAGGGCTGGGAGTGGTAACCAGCCCCATTACTAGTGTAACTAACTGCATGTCCCATTGAATACCCCCTTAATGCTAGAACATGTTTTTAGGGGAATGCTTTATGTGTAGCCACTTCAATTTACAATGTATCTGGTTGTATCTATACAGGTTTATGTATCTCAACAGATATTTCGGATAAGTCTCTTAGCTACTCTGCTCCCAAGGCTCCTTGGTTAGCTTTCACTACCGGGATC